AAAACATTCTACTCGTCACTACGATCACATACACGCGAAATTCACCGAAATCGGATCTAAAACGAGCAAGATATGGATTTTCCAAGTTTTCCTATAGACTATTAATGTACTAAACATGAACTCGAAATTTAAAAACTAGAACTGAGCTAACAAAGACACCAACATGTAGATTACGAATCCAACGCAAGTTGAACGGATCAAATCGGAGTTAAAATGAGCATTTTATAAGCATTTGAAATCAGTGGCAATTCTATAAATATCTGGAACTTGATTTTGAATCTGCTAAATGAAAAATACATTTTCCAAAAGAGAAAACGTATTCTCTGGAATACGCTTTGAACTGCGGGTTCAAAATCTAAAGAGCTCAGGGGCTCTTTAGCAAATTTTCCCCGCGAATGGGTATCGGCCTCTGCGGGCCGTCTGATCCAAGATGGACGGTTCAGATTAGGTCCGAGGAGGAGGGCGGCGGCGCAGTCGCCGGAGAAGAAGCGGCCGCGACGGCGAGGAATCTCGCCGGCGAAAGCATACCGGACGTTTTCGGCCACCATTTGGCTCGGGACTTGTCCCAAAAGAAAGAGGGAAGCGAGGCGGTCTCACCTAGCTCGAAGATGGGGTCAGATTCGAAGCGTGGACGACGGTGGGCTCGTGGAGGCGGACGACGTTGAACTGCACACCACGACAACACGATATGAGCAAAATTGAACCGGGGAAAAGGCTCGGGAAGACTCACGGGATCAAGGCGAAGCTTTCATGCTAGCTTACAGGGGCGAAGGAGCGACGGCCACGGCGAATTGCGAGCTCGGGCGGAGCTCGACAATGGCGGCTAGGGTTTCGGCGGCTCTGCGGCTCAAGAGCGAAGCGGCGGGTTGCTTAGGGTTGCAAAGGGCATCGCGGACGCGGTCGTTCGCCCTTTATAGGGATAGGGCGTGGCGCAGACGCCCACGCGCGGATCGACGCTCGGTCGGTGTCCGGTTCAACACCGAGCCGGAGGAGGAAGAAGGCGACGCTGATGTGCGGGCCCGGTTCGTCAGCGAGACAGAGAGAGAAGGGAGGCGGGCTGCGGCCGCTGGCGCTCGCGGGCTGCTGGGCTGAGCAGGCTGAAAGGAGAAAGAACGGGCCTCTCGGCCAAGAACAGTGACTAGCAAAGCTTTTCCTTTTCCTTTTTATTTTCCAGAATTGTTTAAATGCTTTTCAAAAGGGATTTGAAAACCTTTTCTCAAGCAACAAAAACCAGACAAATATAAATCAAATATGCATCGGCATGTAGGCAGCAACATGTTCTTGGACCTAAGACTAATTTTAATTTCACAAAAAGAATTATTTTGCCTATGTTAAATGCTCACACAAGGCTAATAAATCAAATTCAACTATTTTAAAGTGATGCAAAGTTTTTGGTGTTACAATATGAACACACGCACACATCCTTCTTACCCTTAAGAGTAGCTTCGAATGACTGGGTCGACAGATTTTAAGATTGAGAAATTCTTACCATGGATGGAAACGTTGTCTATCACCTAAAAGAAAAGCATTGTTAGATCCTGAACAATCTTACTGTGTCGTGTATCCTGTCTCTACCTCACTTGTTGTATATACTATCTCTGTCTCTAAAAGGATGCAACTATAGTTTACGTGCCAATTAAAGTACTCTCACATTTGACCATGTTTCTAGTAAATAATATTCAAATTTACTGCTCCAAATTAATTTATTATAAAAATATATTTCGTAATTAGTCTAATGATATTTGTTTTATATTATAAATATTTATATATTTTTATCTATAATTGGTTAAACTCGATATACTAAAACATGATACTGTTCTAGAATTGCATTTTTTTAGGGACGGAGAGAGCACGTAGTAACGATGTTTGGAAATTTTTCCAAAGGGGAGAAAGTATTATTATTTTCTGCCGTTATGTATGAATACATATTATTACTATCCGTTGGAAAGACTAATAAAAATAAGAAAAAAATGAGTGCCAGGGGCGGAAGTACACAACCACTACACTCATGTACTTGTTGTCCTTTGGCAAAAGGAGAGGCCGCGGGCCTTCCAATGTGTCGCAGTATGCGAATCCATCTGGAGCGGTGGGGAAGCAAAGGTACCCGTAGAGGATCTTATGCACTGCACGCATATATATGGAGCTGAGATAACATTCGAATATGTTATCAAAAAATATTCTAGTACCAACTTTCTATAAAGATAAAATTTGTTGGAATATTTGGCTCTGTATATTATTTTAGCTGATAGTCAAAGGCTGAAAGGTACTTAAAAAATGGACTGTGAGAAACTAAGATTATGCTCTGTATATTATTTTTTAGAACCTGCTCACCTGAGTTTAAATTCTAGAGTTGGCGCGCGCGGATGCGTACATTTTTCTTTTCAGGACTAATGGCATTATTCTTCCAGTGGTAGACGGTGCGCCTCTTGACAAACGAGGAACGTATATAGTGACTTCGTCAATCTTAAGATGTGCGAACATGCTATGTTCGCTTGGCTTATAAGCCGTACTTTTTCAGTTAATGAACAGTATTTTTCTCTCACAATAAATCAGTCAACAGTACTTTCAGACATTGTTTATCAGCCAAACGAACATGGCATCGGTTTCAATCTTTACCGTTATGCGTCTACATTATGATTCTAAAAAACAAGATTCGCTTGAATTTGCGAGGGAGAGTAATAGGTACCAGTAAATAAAGATTGTCTGGGGGGGGGGGAATCCTAACTGGTGTTTAAGTGCTTGGTTAACTACTGCTACCGTAATTATCCAAAAGGAACTGTTACTGACAGGTACAGCTAGGAGTACGTGCATGTGCAGAGCAGAACCGCAGAAAGAAGCAGCCTGCTCGCTTGTTCGTAATCGATCGTAAATTTTTAGCTAGGAACAGTGTTTTTCTCTCACACTAAACCAGCCAACAGTAAATAATCCACGATATGATACGGCCTCCCGAACTTACCGAAGAAACAGGGTCAACCGTCAACCTCTCCAGCCTGTAAAAACCTGTTTGACATATCACACTGCAAGGAAGGCCATTGACCACGTTAGATGTGCTTGGATACTACCTGCCACGTGTCAACTCGTGCAGCAAGGAACTGTACGTGTTGGAGAAGTACCAACACCAAAAAAATAGTGGTAGGCACAAGGAAAACACACAAAAAAAAAGTGCAGGTTTTTTTTTTTGAAAGGAAAAAATATAGTAGTCGCACTGTAGCAGCTTGGGGAACCTCAACCAAGAACGACAACAGCGACGCAAAACTGCAAAAGCCACGGCTGCCGCCTGCCTGCCACTCACGACGGCGACCCGATTAGTGGTGGCGATGTGACGCCGCCGGCGAGGGGGCCCCCGGCCCGCCCGGCCACGGCCAGCCGAACCCACCAGGGCAGGACGTGGCGGCGCGGCGTTGGACGGAGGGGAGATTTGGGCCCCCACCGGAATCGACGCGCGCCACCAGCAGCCTCAGCCCCCAAATCCCCTTATCGCTTTGGGGCTGGGACGCAGCGAAGGGCAGCCACCCACCCCATGTCGCTGCACTGCATGCGCCCGGTCCATAGGCGCGCGCGCACGGCCAAACGAAAAGAGTGCCCCTTTCAAAAGGAAGAAAATAAAAGAGTGTTTTTCCCCCTTTCTCACATTATATTTTTTTGGTTTTATTATATCCCATGAACTATATATATCCAATATGGGAGAGAAGGGGAATAGAAAGAGAGATTACGTACACTAGGAATTGATTAGTCAATTAACCGTCAAAATGATGTAGGCGCACAAGAAGGGTTTACCGAGTTGACCCACCCACCAAAACAACAAAATAAAAAGTTCTTGCATGCTTGAACAACACTCCCCACTGTACAATGCTACCTCGGTTCCTGAATAAATCAATTTCTATAGTTTTGCTAGGTTAAAATTTTATAAGTTTGACTAAGTCTATAACATGGTGTCACGGAGATTAATGTTCTTTTCTATAAAATTAGTCAAACTTACAAAACTTTGCTTAGTACAACTCTAGAATTTGATTTATTCGGAGATGGAGGGGTATGTTTCTTGTGTTAATTGTTGGGGTCCTACACCTAGGATTGATAGAATTTAGAGCAAATATTAGTATGTGAAAATTTTCCTTTCCACACCTAATCAAACGGCATATATATATTACTAGGGACTAATGATCTTTCAATATGCCATTGTTTTGTTTATCCCAATACATGGCCCTTTTTGTAGTTTTGGCAAGTCCAGAGGCTAGAGCCATAGCATATTTCTTTAGCTCCGTGTCTTTTGCACCTTTAAGGAAGAGCGTGTGAACATGGAATTCTTACGAAAGCGGCTTCACAACCAACATCTAATGAGATGATGTGCTAAGCACACAATTCGGCCCGTTTGGCCGATCAGTTCTCTTCTTGTTTCAGCTTATTCTCTCTCACAGAATACTATTGAATCATCCGAAATCATCCAAAAGCAGATCAGCCGAACGGGCCGAAGCACACTATTAGTCTACAGTACCTGAGTTAGAAAACCAAAGGAGCAACCCACACCTTTAAAATAATTGTAAAACTCCTTAGTCCTAACCAATAAACAAATGCCCACCAATCTCCTTAGCTTTTGTTTACCATACCACCTAGCATCCCTACAACTCTGCAAAGTCCAAATAAACTAGAGGGAGAGACTATTTAAACTCTCAAGTCCCAAGACTCTCCAAAGAAAAAAAAAAGAATTTGGAAAACAGATAGAAAAAAATAGGGGGTCAAACAAAACAAAGTCATCCAAATAAACTAGAGGCAAATCCATGCACCATGTCCACACCTCAGTGACCTCTATCCCTGCTCGTGCACCACACCTTCCCCAAACCAAACAAACAAAAAAAAATCCAAAAAAAATCGAGTCTTTAATCCTCGCCATAGGCCGCAAAGCCCCCCCATTCCTTCCTCCTTCCGCCCCCCCCAACCCACCCCCGACACGCACCGCTGCGTCCGTCCCCCCCACGCCGTCGCTGCCCGGCCGGTCGGCTCCGATGGGGTACGTGCTGTCGGCGGTGGCGAGGGTGCTGGAGCTGCCCACAGCGTGGGGGGCGGCCTGGGAGATGGCGCTCCTCGCGGGGCCCCTCTGGGCGGCGGCCCTCCTTGGCCTCCTGCTCGGCTGGGCCTGGCGCCCGCGCTGGGCAGCCGGCCTCGTCGTCGCCACCGCCGACGGCGGCAGCGCCGCCGCTGCTGCTCAGGCGCCGGCGCAGCCGCCCTTCGCCACGCTCGACTTTTGGAAGGCCCAGCTCCCCGCCCGTCTCCGCGCCCCGCTCGGCTACGCCGGCGCCGCTGTGCAGCAGAGGGAGGACGACGAGGACGCCGTGCAAGGGTATGTAACTGTGTGTGCTGGCAGGCTGCCCGGAGAAATGTGCTGGATGGTTCTTGGTGCGGGGTTGTGTTCAAAGGCTTAGTTCTTTGGTGGTGATTTGGCGTGTCAAAGGTGCTACCTTTGACGGAATCACGGAATGGTGGTGCTTGGCAGGTCGTCGGAGATGGCGAACGAGGAGCTGGCTGTGGGGAAGGATGACCTGGTGAACCTCTGGAGGCTGGTGGATGGCAGGGACGGCGGCCCGGCCTGGATCAAGATGATGGAGAAGTCGCTGCCCACCATGACCTACCAGGCGTGGAGGAGGGATGCCCAGGTGAACGGATTTTCATGAACCTTAGTGTCGTGTTTTACTTAATTTTATGTTCATGTAATGATTGAATTTTATTTGGATGAATTTAGACTGGGCCTCCACAATATCAGAGTAGCAGCATCTTTGAGAACGCCACTCCAGAGGAAGTGAGGGACTTCTTCGGGGACGACGAGTTCCGAATGTCCAACAAGTGGGATGATATGCTTATTTATCATAAGACGCTGGAGGAGTGCCAGACCACTGGGACGATGAAAGTACATTGGGTCCGGAAGGTAAGCGGATCTTAGGATTTGCTTTAAGGTCTCGCTGATTGACTGATTTCATGTAAATCAGCTTATGCTTCGATCTCTTGCTCTTGTTGTTGCAGTTCCCCTTCTTCTGCAGTGACAGAGAGTACATAATTGCTCGTCGGATATGGAAACTGGGGGGCGCCTATTATTGTGTCACAAAGGTAAAATAGAGTAATAGACTTGAAAAACTACTGCATGTTGTTCTTTTGTAGCACTTCCTTATTTGGGGATTGATTCCAGGAGGTAATGGGACTTATGCTTGACCCCTAATCCAAAAATATATACTTTCTTGGTTGAATTTTGTTACATAGCGGCCTCTTGATTATAGCATGCACTGCATATGGACTGTAATGTTGACAATTTATGTTGTTGCCCCTCAACTAACTCAGTTAGGAATAGCACAGATGTACGGCTCAGAAGTTCAGTGGTTGTAGCTTACGCTTCATATGGACTGTTGGCAAAATTTATGTTGTTGCCCCTCAACTAACTCAGTTTGGAATAGGCACAGACATATGGCTTAGAAGTTCTGTGGTTGTTTCTGAATCCTGATATTTCATGATGGCTATGTGTATCTAATGATACTGACCTGAGGCCACCTGTCCACGTACACTTAGACAAGCTTTTAACATCATTGAAGTTTTGATGTTAATGTTGAGTTGTTGACTGTGAAGTCTCAATTCTTCCTTTTCATCATTATTCCTTTGAAAACAAACTATGGAGGGAAGAGCCCTCCATTGAATAGCAACTGCCTGTTACAGCAAGGAGAAGCTGGGAAGTAACGATATATCAATGTTGAACTTAGAAATATGCCAATTCTGGCTATATTTTCTTGCGTGATGTGTTCTTCCACTCTCTGTTATCTCAACAAAGAAGCCATAAAGCGTTGGCAAAAATAAAATATACAAAGAAGCCACAAGAGCATATCTTTAAATTAATTCCCTGACTGCGTTTCATATTTCTACACATGTTTTTAGTTTGGTCCAATTCATTCCTGAAACAGCAAGAGCTTTCTTATGGTTTCTCTTTTTTTTTTTTCACACTTAGAGAATCATGTACACTGCTAAACAGTATTCTCCTTTTCCTATGCTTCTGTGTTCATATTTTCATAATAAGTTTTTCCCCTATTATTCCATCTCTATTCGATCTTCTATTTCACCCAAATTTTTCTCTCATTGCATTTTAGAATATCCGTTCTTATGCCTTCACTTAATAAATGGTATCTCACTATTGTTTTCCTTGACTGCCTGTATACTTCTCTGCTGCTTTATTTTTACCCCTTCCTAACCCATCACTCTTCACTCAGTCGATATAAATAATTTTGCTATTTTTCTGCATCAACTTTCAGTTAGTTGATATAGTATGAATGAATCACTATTTTTTATTCTATCAGTCAGTACAGGTGATGGTTTCCCCTCAGGGTTCTTGTTGGAGCCTATATATAATGGCTGTATGCCTAAGAGAGAAAAATTGTTTAGGTCCAAATTGCAGTGGAAGCTTAGTTATTTAGTAATATATTGACATTGTTTTTGAGCATTTATTCTTTCTCTAATCCTAGATATTTTCTACATCAATGCAAAGTAAAAGAAATTATTAATGATCCTGTTAGCAATTAGTAGTTTTGAGGCTAGTTTCACTTGCATTGATCAGATCACTTGATATGTAACCATAGAGATTATTGGGCTACTCATATAATCAGCGCATGCCCAACCATTGATGTATTGGTAATGTGATGCAGGGTATACCATGCTCATCCATTCCACGGCGTAACAAACCTCGAAGAGTTGATTTGTATTATTCAAGCTGGTGCATCCGTGCAGGTAATCATTTCCTTCCTTACTTTGCTTGAAGTTGGGAAATAATAAAAGTTGAATAACCGAAAATTCCCTTTTCTTTCTGTGGCATTTCTCTAACTAGGAATTTTCTTTTGAACTGATGTTGGAACAGTGGAATCCAAGAGAGGGAACGGAGGGTTGACAGCCTGTGAGGTTCTCTTGTTTCACCATGAGGACATGGGTATCCCATATGAGATTGCAAAGCTTGGTATTCGGCAAGGAATGTGGGGATGTGTAAAGAAAATTGAGCCTGGACTCCGGGCCTATCAGGAAGCCAGGGCTGCCGGGGAGCCAGCATCACGGAGTGCCTTGATGGCCCGAATCAATACTAAGGTCGGCGACAATTTTGTTCGGTCATTGGAGTCCAACAGCGACGAATCAGAAATCGTGGAAGCAGAAGAGAAGCCTGCGAGGAACCACGTGGCAAGGTTCCTTGTACTCGGAGGGGCAGTTGCTTTGGCCTGTACTCTTGATCAAGGGCTCCTAACAAAGGCTCTCATCTTTGGCGTCGCGCGGAAATTCGTTGGGCAGAGGAAGACATTGTAGCATCTCTGATCTTTCTCAGCGTCCTCCGCTTGGCCCATGTGCTAATTGGACTCGCCCTGATTCGCTGACGTGGAGTGGAGTAAAGAGGTGATTCAGTGGCTGGTTTATTGGCGCTAATTCCATTGTGACTGTAAGAGAGCAGATGAAGAGCATTTTGGTGTACATATATGCTGCCGGCTGTCGGGTAATGAGGAAGAGGGAATAGGGCAAACAATGTACTTCCCATTTTGAAAAGGAATTCTTACTATATATATATAAATTTGTTTCATGTAATTCTTGTATCTCAGACCAGACCAGATCAGATGATTATGCAGCTGAGAAGAACAAGCATTTTTCTGTGTACTTAGCTGTTCTTGGTAAGGTGAGAAGGAATCGGGTGGCACTATGGTCGGACTGTTTGAATCTATATGCTAGTGCTCGAATTCTCTTGGAAACTTATACAGGTGTATTGAATGTAGAATTTGAACCTGCAGGGCGACAGTAGTTTGGACATCACTGATCTCCGTGGACACGGTTTCCCTGCTTCCATATAGCCTTTTCTCCGCTCTGTTCAATCTAGTCTTTCTCCGTTTCTGTTCAATCAACATGGACGGACTCGACTTGACGAATCTCGGACACCACGCCTGTTATGTGTGGACTGGGACTAGACTTTACTCAATCCTGAATTTCTGATCCAAAACTGAATCCAGCCATTTCCAGGTAACCAGCAGCTCAGGATTTCTTTTCTCACAGGATTTTTCGAAGTGAATGGTCAAATATAGTAACATTTCACTTAAAACAAATCTAATAATATACGTATAAAAAAGGAGGGAGCATTTTTTTTCTTTTTTATGCAAAAGGAGGGTACAGTAATTAAAGACGGTCGAGTGAGCAACCGCCAGCAGTTGCGGAGAAAACGGACAGGAATCGAAGTCGGACCCGGACCCGGACCCGGAACCGCCACGCCCGTCCCGGCACCATAAATATGGCGCGAAACGAACCGTCCAGACGGAGAAGAGAGCACAGACAGAGACGATGGCGGCCGTCTTCGCGTCGCGCAAGCGCTGCACCAGCGCGTTTCTCGACGAGCCGGTCCCGGCGCCACCCCACCTCGCGAAGCGCGGACGGTTCTCGCCCGCGCCGGCGGCCTATCTGCAGCAGGAGGCGGCGTCCCGTGTCTCCAGCGCGGCGGCGCGCGCCAACGGCGACGGCATGGAGGAGTGCGCGGGCGTTCTTGTCGATCAGATGTCCACGGCCGCCGACTTGGCGGACGCCAGGGCCCGCGCGTCGGCGATCCTGAAGCTGATCGAGGCCGCCGTCACCAAGCGCGCGGCGGTGGCACTGCGGGAGGAGAACTGCGGGAGGAGAACGGAGGCGCTGGAGCGCGGCGTGGCGGAGCAGCACAGGCGGCAGGATGCTCTGGAGCGCGACAACGGGGTGCTCAAGCACGGGGTGGCGGCGCTCCACCGGCGCGAGGAGGCGGCGCAGCGCGCCGCGGCGGAGTCGAAGGCGCGCGAGGAGGAGGCCAAGCGTGTGGCGGCGGAGCTGAGGAAGAAGGTGGCGGAGCTGGAGGCGGCCAACTACGCGCTCGCCGCCCGGATGCTCGGCACCGACAGCTGCCGCTTCCAGGCGTTCCACGGGCCCGACGTGTTCTGAAGAGCTTGCGGCGGCGACTTCCCCGAACCAGATCTTCATGTCGTCTAGAGCTTAGGGCTAGCGACAGCGATTAGCAGCATGTTGCTTGCGGATCAGACCCATGTAAAACCCTATCAGCCATGGCTTTGTTAGCCTAGATTCATCTTGGAATCAAACCAAAGTTTGAGTACAAGTGTACAACATCCTCTTTTTGTTCGTAGCAGCAGAAGCAGGAGTCTGACGACTTTTTTTGTTCGTAGCAGCAGAAGCAGGAGTCCGACGACTTTGTTAGCCCAAATAACTGTTCTGATATCTGATACCAAATTGTAGCAGATGTATAATTGCAAGATGCAACGAATATTCCGTTCTGTATCTCCCTCTGTAATGTAAGAAAAAAACGTCGATCATGTGCATTGATATCAAAACCGACAGTATAGCAGCTCTGTACAGAAACTAATCACGATGAACTGCAAGGATAATTGGCATGATGTACCAATTAGCCATAGCTACTCTAGGGCGACACACGCCAGCAATCCTGTGTGTATGTATTTTACAATGAATTGATTGAAGCATCCCACTTTACTGTGAATGTGTCTGTACAAGGGTCATGTCACCACGTGTATGCTCTGTACAGAAACTAATCACGACGAACTGCAAGAAAATTTCTTCTCACAATTTACTCTACCCCATGTTTTTTTCTAACTCTGGCCAGTGCTTAGTGTACCTCCTCCCTAGCCCAAAGCACCCTGGCTCCAAATTCCACAAAACCTGGAATTAAGATGATAACTTGTAAGCAACAAAGATGAATTCCACCCAGGCAAATAGCAAACTGGTTCGAAGCAGCTACTCTACCACTGACCATGGTACAGGGAGAGAGGATCTCGTCAGCAAGATGCATCCCCAAGACAAAAAATTATGTACTGATGAGCAGCTCGATCACGCTGACAAATTAGTGGTCCTTGAGATTCAATTGTGGTGATTGCATGAATGAAATTAACAATCAGTTTGAATCTGGTTCTGCACCAAACGAGAAAAAATTATGCACTATTAATTGAGCAAGCAATACCAGGTAAGAAATTAACCAGCAAAGGAGAAACATCATGAAATTAGCTGTTCGCCTGTTTGTCAATGGAAAGTGTAAATAGCAATATATGCTAAATTGACGCTCTATCCAACAATCAATCATTGCAAGTGAATTTCAGTACAAATTCTGAACTCCATTCAAAATTTCAAATACACATGCTTTCCTTTTAGTCCTGCCAGCTTGTCTTGATCATAAGTAAATGCGATCCATTTGGTCACAGCAAGGGATCAAAATAAATCTCACTTAAACAGTATCTAACTTTGTTGTGCCATGCTTGACTGTGCCATCAGGTGTTTTGCTAAGATTCAAAAGATGGAGGTTTAGCATCACTTCAAAAGAGCTACTGCAGTGATAAGTTCAGCCTCATCATGCATTCAGCCATATATAGGCTGGAGTGTTAATATCCTTCTTTTAGTATTGATCTTAAAGACATTTTCAATAGATCTCACACATATTAAAACAAGAAACATGATACAAGCAAGATTACTGGAGGCGTAAAGCTTGAACTACATACCATACTTAACAAAAAAAAGGGGCGTACCCAGTGCAGAGAGCTCCCGCTCTGTGCGGGGTCTGGGGAAGGGTGTTAGTGACAAGCCTTACCCTCGCCTGTGCAATGCGAGGAGACCGCGACTCGAACCCGGGACCTTCCGGTCACAGGCGGTAAGACTCTACCGCTTGCACCAGGCCCGCCCTTCACATACCATACTTAACAAAGCAGCATTTTTTTCTTCTATTTACCTGCAGAGGATCAAAGAAAGTAAGCACGCAAACAGAAAGCCATAATTGAATCAGCACAGTGACATTAATTCTTATGATGTCAGTGACTGGAATATGAACTCACGTAGAAAACTTGACTTTTGTGGATGACGACTCCCAGTCTGTTTTGATTTTTGCTCCTTCATTTGCCATATTTTCTGGGGTTTTTGACTTCTAACTGAATGTTTGCTAGTTTCACCAACTGAAGTGGTCCTCTTCTGTATCTTCTCATGATATATAGCTGGCGGTGCAAGTTTCAATGGAGGTACGGTTTCTATATGAAAGGACTTCTGCGCTTTCTGAAGATTATTCAGTATTTCATACTGAAAAAAGAAACGTTATCCACATATCACATATCGATTAGAAGACACAATAGAAGATTAGAACTAGGTACAGTTTCACTTTTCACTTGTCAGAAAGGCGTCCAGTTTTAGTTGCGAGATTTATGATACAACCTAAAAAAGGTAAGACCATCTGATATAGTCATACCCGTGACATCTGTTGAAGCCCACGAGATCTCTCAGCATGATCAACTTCATGAATCTGATGGATGCCATGTGACACTTCATGTTCAGCCCCAGAATACTTCATTAACCCATTCTCAAACATAGGTGATTTGCTTCGAGCTTGTGTATCACTCATCGAGAGACAGACAGGGCATCCCTCTTTGGATTCCCGATTGGATGACCTGGTCTGACCAGACTCACACTGAAGATGTGTTGCATGCCCACAACTGAACAACCGTACGGCTGAAATAGCACCTTCTTTAGAAAGTGAGCAGTTGCATATGCAGCATACAAAAGTCTCTGGAGCAAACCCATGACAAACTCCTCTCTTTAATAAGCTCAAGGTATAAAATGAGTCATCCTCAATTACTGACTTAGCTGTTTCCTACAGATAGGTGAATTAGATATCAGAGCAGAGAAGCTAAGAATTATTTTCTATCAGAAAAATTATGGGAGATTTCCAGAAACTAAAAGCAGTGATGTTTTTCATTTGGCATTAAGTCAATTGGTACTTACTAGGTAGAGAGCTCAACACTTGAATCATGAGGTAGATTTGAATGCGCAAAACAAACAATCAATTCCAGGAGTCAATGCAGGGACATATATCAGATCATGGACGAATATATCTAGTTTAGGACATTATGAGGTAGTAGCATTATCAAATAACAAAATTCAAGGCACATTAATGAACTGGTCTCATACTTGGTCCGAGTTACTAACAGAGTAACAAGAATACATGGACCATACAGAGCAACCTTTTCAAACCTTTGCTCTATTGCAATGAGTATGTCATGTGATTCAAAATTTACCAATGATCTTCTACAGTGTTCCACAAAGCAGTAAATGGAGTTTGTAATTACAGCCTTTACCTACAAGAAATAGACAAATGAGCCATACCAGTATTCTTTTTTCGTAAAGATACATAGATAACATTCTGTGTATCACAAGTTTGAAATCACCAAACTCTTGACTCCCATTATCGGATAACAGTTTTGCCATGATTGCTGGTAGGGGTATATACCCAGCCATGGCCTCTATTGTTTCTCCAACACATTGTGAAAATACTTTTCGCAGAACATTTAGGCACTTTTGTTTAGTTGAAATCCTCATTTGTTGAGATAGTCCTTTTTCCTTCAGATGTTCCATTGGTGCTTCACTCCAATTTGACCTGGCACCTTTTCCATTTACATCCTTGATTCCATACAATTTTTTTAATGGCTCTGAGAAGCTGAATCAATAGTAATGGTATACATTAGTACAAAAGATAAATATGTAAATATGACTTCAGCAAACTATGAGCACGACAAAGTTGAGAACAGTTTGGAAAAACTTCCCCAAATTATCCCACAGCAATAGGCTCACATTGTCTTTCTAGATGTGCTATTGAATCTAATAGATAATTTCCTGACAAAATATTTCTGTTATTGGCTTATTGCTCTTTTTACCAAAAGTTAACAACCATAACTAAGGCATTAACTATATGTGCTATCATTCTGCTCATAAATACTCCATATGCCATTTTCGAGAACAGGGACACATTGGTGTTTTCTATATATATATATTTTTTAAAACTAGACCAACCTAGGAGGAACCAGCTGGCATTTTATTAAGAAAAATAGGCACACAAATTCGCCTCGACAAGGACTGGAACCTGGATGGTCTAGGCATACATCCACACCCTCGACCAACTCCGCTAGCTATGATCATAAGTAGCAACACTGACTGACCAGATGGAAACTGTGCCAATAGATTCATCGTACAAATTATTTTTTGTAACACACTTATGTATTCATGTATTATAGCATGACTTACGAGTCAAGCAATTGGAACCAAAGGGACTGAGATTCCTCTGGGTCCAAGCGCCAGAATTCCTTTGGCACAATCCAATGGAGGCATGCAATGCATCAAGCACTGGATGAGCCTTAAACAAAAAAGTTGAAAATGTTAATACCTGCACAGCAGAAGTTAAAAACCTAGACAAGAATTCAAATGTGAGAGAAATAAACCTCACTCATTTCTAGAACAATGTCTAGTTGCTTAATTTCAGAGATACTTTTTGATGCGACACCAGAGAAAGTATTTTCCACAGAAGAGATAAATAGGCTAATTTTCTCATCAAGTCCAGCCAGAATAAGGTCTAAGGCACTCCCAACATCACCAACCCTCTCTTGCAAGAATGCAGCAGCATCTGTAACTCCATAATCTAGGCAAAATGCAAGCACCGCTCCAATCTGTAACTGTCAAAAGTCTCCAGAAACTTCAGAACAGACCTTCGCTCATACTGACATAAAAGCTGTCAAGGAACATGTGTTTGATTAACAAAGATCATAAGAAATATGCAGCGATAAATTTTGTTTTCCTATTACTTATTTTCAGAAAGAAAATTTTTGTGACAGTTACTTCAAAGCTTTCAGCTAACAGCGCGCAACTTTTTTTATATTCGCAAAGGAAAATTGCTATGTGATGCCTAATTATTTCTGGAGATTCACTGCCCTAGCTGCCAATATATTTGTAGCTTGTTCTTACAAAATTCATGTACAGTATGGCGGCTAGCACTAAAATGTTCAGTGATTATCAAATGCTCCATACCATTTGAAAGGCACTAAAGTTCAAAAATCTATCACTACCTCCAGATAGAGTTCAACCAACTCGTCGTCGATGTAAACAGGATTGTGGCATAACTTGGAGAGATTTGATAGCCTCTGCTGATAATCTTCAACGTCAGTAGAAGAGTACTGGAGTTCAACAGTTTGTTTGTTTCTTACTTCAAGCTTACTGAGGTCAAGTTTTCCAGACAAGTGTGCTTCAATAGCAGTTTTCAAGAAAAGAAAGAGGCTGTGTCTGTCAGAACGAAGCTCTGCTAATATTTGCTGTATCTTATCACAGAAATGATCACTGGCCAAGACAAATGCACACTCCCTGCGAGTCCAGGCATAAGAGAGAATGAGCACATTCAGTTGAAAGACAAACATGAGAGGAAGAACGAAAGAAAAGAATATGATTTGGTTGATAAATAGTTGACAACTTTACCTGCTTAGCTTGACTAGCTCAGGAAAGCGAGATATTACAGTGGTATAAAATGACAAAGCTTCATCATCAACCAATTCTAGTAACTTTTTATCAATGAAGATAAAAGCATGGAAAGGTTCCTCTTCATCCTTCATGTAACTATCTAAAGCAGCCAAATTCTGATTCCTAGTCGTAAATATCAAGCCACAGGCCTGCACAAGGACAAGAATATTTTCATCCATAAGCTGGCAATTTCGAGTAACAGTGCTACATAAATTTCATAGGAGTGAATCTAACAGAGCAGTGGTAGCAAACCTGATAGAAATGAGCATCTGAACAAAGGTTCAAGACAAAATCTGAATTCCAATCATTTTGGGGAACCGCATTGAAGAGTTGAAGAACTTCTTTTTCTTTCTGAGTCCTTGTTCTTGTGTCATCATATGATGAAATGAGATAAGTAAGAATGTGCCTAACAACTCTCTTAGATGCATTAGCCCTTTTGTGGGAAACAAAAAAGGACACAAACTCCATTAAATAGCTAAAATCCTTCTCCGAAGGCCAAAATTCTGATTCAGTGTTACCCATGACAACGGACCGAATCACATCATTTTTCAAACCAACAATGTCAATGATGGCATCAACTACATTTTGTACCATAGTATTTTGGCTCTCTGGGCTTCCAGCGTCAATACTATCTTCATTGCCTGAGACAGACGTATGGACAGTACTTGGAAGTTCATCTCTAGGTTCAAAGTTATCCTGTACAAAAGCACATTTGAGGACTTCCAAAGTAGCTTCAGTATCCATCCATAGCAGATAGCATATGTTTAGGCACTTTCCACAAGAAGCATTGAAACCCTTAAATACTTCAGAAGTGAGTGGCTTAGACTCTTCAAGCAGAAATTGCAGGAGTTCTTCCCTCACTGAATGAAGCCGGGATCGGGGAATTATCCCATGCCCTTTAAAAGAAAATCATGTCAGAACATCTATCTGAGTTCTATTCACAATATAAGAGAATAAATCAACATAATATAATATTTACTATTCCTGGTTCTACAAAAGAATCTGCTGGTAGTGGTGCAGACATTCTGATGACTGACAAAGCATCTTATGGTAGCTTCAAAATCTCTCCAATTTGATAATCAAGTTTTCAACAAAGTTTTACTAAAAAAATATACAGGATTCTGGGCCCACCAAAAAGCAATGCCACATGGAAAACAGGTATTGTGGTCTAACTACATACTAATCTGCTATTGATATAATGAACTGGTAAATGATAAATCATATGACAAATGGAGGAACTAACCTGGAGGAAATGCCAAGCCCTGAAAGCAATATTTCAGATAAACAAGCATCCTGTATCTGTTTCAACAAACAACAGGTTAGAGGCTAAGATATTGCTGTATATTTCTATCTGATTCTAGCAACATACTAAAAGGGCAGACCCAGTGCCGGAGGCTCCCACATGAGTGGGGTCTAGGGAAGGGAAAAACCAAGGCAAGCCTTCCCCCCGCAAATCTGCGGAGAGGCTGCCTCGAACCCACGACCTGGTGACTCAGTGAGACAGCTCTCACCACTGTACTAGGCCTGCCCTTCTTTTAGCAACATACTAAAACCTAGCAAAAATATATTGAGTTCTATGTGTAGCTTCAGGAATATCTAAGAAAAATTAAACAAGCACAACCAATCTCGTCCCTTTAGATTCACAAGAATTGAGAAACTTTTACATAGTATTACTATTACATCCATCTGTGCACCCGAAGAAGGGAAAAATCACGATTCATTTGTTCTATTCTCAAATAAAAATGACAGCCAGATAAGGAACAACAACGGTGTTCGCTATAAACACTGTTTAATAAAAGTTTACCTGAAGATACATTTTTATCAGGAATTTCAGAATTAACAAGATCATGGTCAATTCACAATCCACAACTAATGGACAATATAAAATATCGTATCATGTTATATGTAGAATGGTGTTCACTAAATATAAAATATTGTATCATATTGTTTCATAGAACTACTGCGAGCCAGAATATTACATACCCACTAGAAGTATCATCTTTACTGTTGGTGTTCTGAACTACTGATAGAAGTTCCTCTAGAGGTGTACGGAAATCATTCAGGCCTTGGTTAAATAAATAAATTAGTGCACCGTATAGCCCGTGTTCACGACAAAGTCTGACTACCTGCACACAACAGAAGCATAATAAAATGCATTGGCAAGCTTGAACTATAGCTCAAGCTACAAAATGGAACCATAATAAATTCAATAGCAAATTAAGATGCTATTTTCTAAGTCAATATAAACAGACCAAGACGATACATTACAAATATTTTCTATACCTGATTAAAGTCCAATGAAGAAATATCCATGTGAAGGATGCATTGTTCAACTCGCTGCAACCATCCTTTGCCACTATAATGCTCCACTAGTGCTTGCATGATCTACAAGTACAATTGGATTATATGAATATTCATTTACAGATTGTTATCCTAGAACTAGTATAAATCCTGGTGCTGCTCACCTCAGGGGGCAGAGAACCAAGCATATCCTTCAATATATAGGGCTCTAGCACCTCCAGAAACATACCTGTTATCATGTTATTTCAAACTTTTCAAGTTAACAACAGTTTAACAACAGATACGTGTAAATGCACCGTCCCATAAGCCTGCAAGTATATTTACATATGCAATGTTTATCTAATAGAGACTACAAATACATATAATCCTATGAAATTTTAATACATAAGTCAAAATATATGTTCTAAGCCTAAGCCAGTGTGAGAGAGAGTGTGTGTGCACACACACGTATATGCCAGTGAGTGTGTGTTGGTGCGTGTGTTAGTGTGTGTGTTGTCTTTAACTTTTTGCACTATTTCTTCTTCTTAATGAAATAATACACAACTCTCCTGCATATTCCACGGAGGGGAGTCAATATTCCAAGACAGAAAAAAAATAATAAGAGTAATGGGCCACAAAAATATAAGAGCACAAGTCGGAATATGGAAAACCTTCTGTATTGGTTTTCAGAATTCAAAAGGGATTCATTGAAAATGAACAACTTAGATCAGAAGCATGAAAATATCTTTCGATGGTTCTGTCTTTCATGGACAAAGTTCAGCAAAGATCATATGATGGAATGATCTATAGGGCATACTACATGTTTGGTGTTTCACAAGGCATGAATAATAAAGTTCAGAACTTAACCAAAAGGAAATGTTACTGCTTCTACTGAGAGAGTTAGAATAAGCCTACCTCCACTTTGTGCAGCAACAAACTTAGAGAAGACTGTATCGAAAAGGATATCATTACGTCCAATGTGGACACAATACTCAACTGCAACCCCTCCTACACGAGCGTACTGCTCATCTCTTTGTGTAAGCAGGGATCGATCTGCCTCTATTAGAACATCTGATTCTCCCCCTTTTCCAGTATGATTTGACAGTGCAATTGAAATATATTCAAAAACATAACTTATATACGATAGCAGCAATTCTACTAGGTAAGGCATTATGGCTTCTCTAATCGAATCAACCGTTCTTGGGAGATCAACAACACCCTGTGTCTGACCATCATAAAGCCTCATTGCCATATCTAGTGCACCCATCCAATCGCCAGCCCTCTTTAGTGCTTCAATTCGCTCTTTCCATGGAAGAAGTCGGGAAACCGTGAGAAAAGATGGCCCAAGAATATACACTGTAGCACCTCTTACTGCTACTGAACTGTTAAAATGCCTCTCTGGGTTACCAAACCTGTTAAAAAAATGTGCATGGTGCAATATTGTGTCATCAAAAAGAAGGCCATCAGGAACAAAGGTAGTTCTGCGAAGCTCACTGCCGTCTTTAGAGAATAAACAGAGCTGCCCTCTCAAATTAAGGACAACTAACATCTGAAGAGAAAAGAGAGTAATTTAATTTGTTGCCAAGTAGAGAGGATATTAAATGAATAGCAGAAAAGAGATTTTGCATACCTGGTCATCCAACCAGGCAACACCAACAGCTGCACTATCAAGCTTCCACCCTTGTGTTTAAATATCTTAGATTTAACAAACTTTGCAACTTGCACTTGACGGTCCCATGCAAGTGCTAGCCATGACACTCGTTCTTCATCTATAGCATCATCACGTTAGTCCCCAAAATTGAAATACATATTAAAGAAAGCACCAATGCTCATGAAAGAAGGCCTACTTTACCTACTGATGACGATTCATTCAAAGATGATGTGTATTTCCACGCAGCATACGCAATGGAGCCCTCACGTGCTCCATCTGGTCTAGAGAAGGTCTCAATATGGTCAACATGGTCAATATTGGTACGGAGTCTAACCTAACAGGAAAACAATAGAATATTACCCTCATTATAAGAATTCATGACACATATAATAGCTACTAAAATCACAGAACATGTTTCCAAAATTATAACTGGTTCATACCACAAGAGTATGTTGATGCATAATAAACATGACTACAACACCATCCTCCATTGGAGAAGAGCCTTCATTGAAAAACTTCCATCCAGAATCTACTCCAACCACACCTCCAACAACACCACCCATCATGCTGCCAAGACTACCACTGGAGGAAGTTGTCTGATTTCCCTGGGCAGATGAGTTACTAAAACCAAAAGATTCATCCATAACAAGAGGACAGGCTGAGAGCACAATTCCAGTATTCCCATCAAAAAGGCGCTGTCAAATTGTAGCAAGGTTTTGTCAGACCACATGTTCAACACGAAAACTAGTGAGCACAGTAGAGTAAAATGATATTTCTCCATACCTGAGTTCCCTTGACAGTCAAACGATTAATTACGGGGATAATGGAAAACGTGTGCAATAGAACTACCCCCTTTGAATCCCCAGTGATGGCTTTAGATTGACGGATAAAACAAGCATGCACTACTGGTGCTGTATGCTCGCCATATATAACTTTTGCTGCTGCAGATTTCTGTACATCCCAAATTGTCATATGACCATCACCATATCCTACTAGCAGAAGATCCCCTTGTTGGTTAAAGCACATGGCAGTCACTGGTGATCGAGTCCTCTCGCCTTGGTTCCAAAAGAACAGCATCTGAAATTTTTTTGAAAAGTGTTTATACCGAAAGTGATTCACATAATTTATAAAACTTTTAAGCCACCAAACTAGAACAGGTATTGGTTTCACCAAGTTCGTCCAACAAGATTTTGCATATGGGGTTCTCAGATTTATATGTGCAGCCATTGATTCAAATCAATGTGTTATCTTTGAAGAAAAAATAATAGCATTTCAATCAGCGAGAAAGAAAGAGAAAACAATGCGATGTTCCAATGACACACTGATGTATTGTGTCCACTAAAAGGGCACAACAAACAAAGGATTTCCCTAAGCAGCTTCTTCACAAGAACTTGTTGCATATTCTACTCCAAATTTAGAATCTGAGATACTTCTGCAAACTCTACCTAAATGTTGTCTTTGTATCAGATTCTGGTGCAGTAACGGACACTATATTAGTATATTTTTGGCAGCAAACCAAATTCAGAGTAAGCTTGACTTAATTCTTTGATAGAGGTGCAAGTGCTATTCTGATCACCAGAACTCATCTACAGAATTATGGACAAATGCACATAGAGCTGTTGCAGAAACAGAAATGTAACAATACTTCTCAGTCCCTTCCTGTTTATTCCTTATTAAGACAAGAAATTAAGAAAGTAAAGACTTCCAGTAAGTTGACACCAAATGATATAGTCATATCCAGCAACAAATGTTTTTGAAAGAACAATATTTAACTTCACCAAAATAATGCATAATAAATACGCCATCTTTAAGTCGAAATATACAACAATACCGATTAGTGTGAACCAAACATGCCTTATTCACTCCAACACTAATGACTAACCTTTGCATCTGTATCATCAGCTTGATGAATGGAGTATTTGCTTGGAATGACAATGACAGCACCTTTAGATGTGCCCATTGCTATATAGCTCTTATGAACAGCCAGCACCTGGGGAGATCCATGGTCTGACCTAAACGACGGTGAGGACATGGCACGAGTTACTGGGTTGTCCATCTCAATTTGCATGTAACCGATAGCTGGTGGGCCCTTTCCGATTCCCTCTAGTTGCATGGGCTGCGCAGCTGCTCCTTCCTCCCAGTGTTGACCAAACGAGGCCTGCCTCTTCTCAAGCTCCTCTGCCCACTCCAACGGCTTCATTGACACCTTCAGCTTCTTCTCTGCGTTCTTCTCGGCCTTCCTGCTGGCCTCCAGCTGCTCTACCCTCTCTTCAATCACTTTATCAATTAAGCTCCCAGATTCCACTTGTTCTTCCATGATACTGTCAGATCTTTCAAACTCCTGTTCATCATCAGAACTTTCCTCGGAAACAACCCCAATTAGATCCATACCCTGATCTGATTGCACATGATTATCATCTACAGTTTCGCCATCCCCATTTTCCTCATAGACAGCCTCAATTTGATTCACAACTTGGTCAGTTTCCGCCAAATTGACATCATCACCTTGCTCATGCCCACTGGATTCCTCTGCAACAAGAGAGTCCAGAGAACTTGCCTCCACCAGCTTTATAGCCTCAGCATTCTCTTCACCTCCCGCTTCTGCCTGTTTATCCTCTCCCAATTCTGTACCCACACTCCCACCTGCAGTTTGCTTGGTCGCCTCAGCAACCGGTTCCGAATTACCCTTCTCTTCTACCTCTGCTTCCAAGCTCCCAGTGGGAGGGAGCTCCTTGGAGTCTTCGGAGCCACTCCCCTCTTCCACCAGAACTTTCTCCACGGGCGCCGAGACTGATCGGCGGGACTTGATGGCAGCGGCGTGTGGGGTGAGGACCGCGCGGGACGCTGCGGCGGCAGCGGCAAGTGCAGCGCCGGGCTTGGGGCTGGGGCGGACGCCCCGGAAGAGCGAGGGGAGGGGCCTCGACGACGAGGAAGCGCCGTTGCTCGAGAAGGTTCTCGCGACGAGGGAGGAGAGGGTCTCCGACGGCGAGGCCGATGCGGATCTCCTCGGGGGCGAGGGCGGGGAGGGCAACGGCGAGGGCTCAGCGGGAGGCGCCGGGGCTTGGACGCGGGACGGCGCCCCGCTGTTGGTGCTGCTGGGGATGCGGCTGGACTCCTCGGAGTCGGAGTCGGAGTCTGAGGAGGAGAGGAGGCTGAGCAGGTCGTCGACGGCGCGGCGGTGGTCGGGGTCGGCTGCGTCGGCGTCGGAGGACGCGGAGGAGGTAGGAGACATCGGGAGGAAAGCGTCGAGGTCGAGCTCCCGCGGCGTCGGCGCATGCTGCGACGCCATCGCCGGCGACGAGGACGACGCCGGCATCGGGGTCGACGCCTTCGCGTCCAAGGTTATGTGCTGCGATTTTGCGAGCTTTTTGCGCAATGCGTCTGTTCGTTTACTGATGTGATGACTGCATTACTACGGATGCAAACTGGGCCAAGGCCCATACTGTCAGTCCATAGGCCCATTAGTCCTTGCCGTTGACGATGACGAGATGGGTCTTCTCGTTTGACCAGCCCCTTTCGGTTTGGTTGGTGATCCAAGAAAACCTGAACGGGATGCCTCGCCGTTCGGGATGGCCTTTTCGCCAAGGACCCCAACTCAGCACCATCGGGATGCCTCGCCGCCACGGCCGCTGTCGCTGCCCCTGCCGATGGCGGTTGGGCACACATGTGGGGCGCCTCATGTCATCCGTGGTCGAGCCAAGGGGTACCCACGAGCGCGGTCGGTGCTGGTGGTGCTCGCGCACCTCTTGCCGCCGACTCCCACATTGACGCCTGGAATCGACCAGCCCTGGCCTCTCACCCCTATGTTGCAAACGTAAGTTTCAATTATTTCAGATGTTTCAGAGGTACGTTGCAAGTGTTTCATATGGATATTGCAAAAGTAGATCGGGATGTTGCATATGTTGCAATGGCTATACACATACGTTGGAAGAGTGTTTCAAATGTTTCATATGTTTTTTTTCCAGATGTATATTGAAAGTGTTTTTATTTGGATGTTGCATATGTTTCACACATATGTTGTAAGTGTTTTTATCTAGATGTTGCATATGTTTTGCAATGACTTTTCAGGTGTTTTTCAGTTGTTTTTGTAAGTGTTTCAGACACATATTTCAGGTGTTTCATTTGTCTTCAAACGCATGTTGCAAATGATTCATCTAGATGTTTGAAAAGTAGATCGAATGTTGTACATATTGCAATGTGACTCACCTTCCACAGCCGCCTACTGCAGCTGCTGGGGTGCCGTGCATGCGTGTGGAAAGCGGAGGGGTGGAGTGCGGCAAGGCTGTGGGCACGGGAAGTGGAGGGGGAAGCGCGGGGAGCGGCGCGGGTGTGCAACAGCTATGGATGAAAACGGTACGGATATTTATTCGACCGTCCGTTCGACCGAACAAATATGAACACTTATCTGGATAGTTACTCGGATATCCGTAATTTTTTTCGGATACGGATAATAAAACGGATATCTTAGGCGGATATCAAATACGGATGTAATATCATCGATATCCGGCGGATATCGGATAATCCGGTTAAGTATCGGATATATCCGGATATTTTCAAACGGATATTATCCGGATATTATTCAAACGACCTTGATGGAGAAATGATCAAAATAAAAATTGTAGATCTCAAAAAGTTATGAAACTTTGTTGTTTACAACTTTTTCGTTTGAAATCATTTAGTGCTTCAAAATTTAAACCGTCTAAACTTTCTCAAATGGAAAACTAGTTTATAGGCGTCAAAATTTAAAAATCACAAATTTGAACCATCCAAACTATCTCAAATGGAAAGTTGACCAAAACAACAATTGTAAATCTTGATGAGTTGAACAAACTTGGTATTCAAAACTTTTCAATTTGAAGTCATTTGGAGTTCATAATACTAGAGTCAAAGTGTTGTTTTTTCATTTGACCAAATTTGACTTGGTCAAACTTGCTCAAATGAGACACTAAATGACGTCAGATGAAAAAACTCTGAATACCAAGTTTGATCATCTCAGCAAGATATACAATTGTTACATAGCTCATTTTCCCATTTGAGAAAGTTTTATCAAAAACTAGTCACAAATTCTTGAATCTCATATAGACTTTCTGAAACTATGTCACACACTTGTGAAATTTGAACTACATTTTATTCAAACTTTCTCAAATAAAAAAATAGCCTATATAAGTATTGTAGATCTTGATGAGATGACCATGACTCCATGAGACCCATGAAGCCATGAGCTTGGATATTTCTACTCATGCCGCGAAGATTGGTGCTTGTATGATGTTTGATGTATGATGTATCTGTATCTTTATCTTATTTGTTGCTTTACTCTTTAGTCTTTCGGCTTAATCTAGATGGATTATGGACTCATAGAGTGGTGTAATGGTTTGCGCACGTATGATATATATATATATATGCTGCTTTTACTCAATATCCGAATAGATATTTGTATCCGACCTTCTCCGAATCCGATTCATACCGTATTCGATACTCATTATTCGTATCCGTAACCGAGTCAATCCGTATTCGTATATGTATCCGAACGCTATCCGTGTCCGAATCCGAATCCGAACAGAAATATGAAAACAAATATAATATGAGTGATATCCGTTCGTATCCGATCCGTTTTCATCCCTAGCAACAGCCACGGGTGTTTGTCCGGACGTCCGAGCGTTAGTACTGTCCATAATCAAATTAGAGTAAAATGTATCAGCGGTCCATTAATTTTTGAGGCGGTGTCATGTAGATCCATCAAGTCTCACACTATATTTGGGTGCATAAACAAACTTTTTAAGTTGTTCACCGGAGATCCATATTGCTCGGTTGTATTTGTATTTTACAGAAATCTTCCTCTATTTCTTTTTTTTTCTTTTCACATGTTTACCCCTCTTTGTCCTGAGGGCACCGGACTGGTGGGAGCGCAGCGAGCATGCACGGTGGCTACGGAGTACGGATGCAAACAGCGCGGCTGCGGGTAGCCCGTCGTACGTCTCCGCACGCGCCGCTTGCTTCTACGCGGGCATACATACACAGCGGCCCATTTCTGCCGCGCTTAGCTTGCATTGAAGTTGGCGTTCGCATTTGCTGGCTGTTTGGCACTACTACTTGGCAGTGTGTGTGTGTCTCTCTCTCTATATATAATAACACGTACCGTAGCATACTGTATGGTGCTTGAGGAACGGTAGCAGGTGCGGCTGCTGGTGCAAGATTGGGCGCACGGCGGCCACGGACCACGGTATCACCAGTGTTCTATAGGTGAGGCAGAGTAGTTACGGCTCCCCCAAAGAACACGCAGAGTCGGACGGGCGGTGATGGCGCCGCCGCTGCCCGTGGCATCCAGTGAGGTGTGCCATGCATGGAGAGCAAGGAGAGGATGAGGAAGCGGTCAGCGCAGGAGCGTGGAAAGGACGGTGGCGCATGCAGCTTAGGGCGGAGCACGACACGGAGGGCACTGCGAGCAAGCGGGCATATGGTGGCCGTCGTCGACATGTTGAGCGGCTGCAGGGGCTCAAGGACATGCAACTTGTATTTTCCACAACCATGGGTGCGCCCACCCCTTATCCCACGGCCCTGCTGCCTCCATGATTCGTGCAAGTCAACTCTTCGTTTTCCACCCAGCCAAAAGTGAGCAGCGTGTTCTGCAGGCTTGAATTGGGTGGCTAGAGCTGGTGCTGGACCAGCCAGCCAAGCAGCTGCTTCGAGCAGCCAGCTAGTCCTCAGTCAATTTAAATTGGTTGAATAGCTATTTGAAATTTAAACTCTTCTCAGCCAATTTCAATTCTCTAAGTCCAACAAAACTATCAAACATAAAAAAAAGTATGTAGCCATGGCCATGAATTTTAAACTATAAAATTTGGTTCCAACATGCACCGATACTAGTAAGATACTTATAAAGACGATCGAATCAACTAATAAACTACACTTGTATTAATCATTTCTCATGGTATTTCAGTCATCCTTGCATTGAAATCCAGCTTGTTCTTTAGCCTCAACCGAGAACATCTTCCTGCCTTCTAAGAACTCCTAACAAATGAACAAAGAATCATGAGCAATGGTCAAATCAAAGACAAAAGTCAATAACACTACAATGAACAGGGATCGAAGAATTTTCTTCGATTCGGAGCAACAACTACATACAAAATAATCAAAAATCAAAAGAAGGCAGGCAAGTTGTGTCATCCAGTTCTCGACCCCTATTATACATCTTCTAAGCAATGAGGTATCAATAACCTGTACAAAGGAATTAACAGTAGGCCAAAAATTATGTCTGCCTAAGTGTTCTTCACAGCTCAAATATAACAAAGAAGTAAAAGTATAATGTGCATGCCTCAAACAAGAATAATGCCACCAGAAATAGAATTTCACAGCTCAAGTAAAACATAAGGAGATGGATGTACAAATGAAGGTGCTCAAATTAAAGTGGTAGGAGAATAATTGTTTTAATGTTTCATAATAACAATGCAATTTCCAATGTACAGTGAGTCAGATGGTAGACACCACGAAATACTCCAAGTACAATATAAAGTCATCAACAGAGAAGTGAGAGTAGAATAGAAAAATGAAAAGAAAGAAAATCAAAATATGAGATCCAGATAGCCAACCTGAACCAGTTCCACCAGCAATAGAGTAACAAAAGACAAAACCCTCAAGGCTATCACTTTCATCTGCTTCTCTGTCAACCATGTCCATGATATCATCAACAACTTGTTCACCCTATGAGAATATGAAAAGGCATTTGAGCATTTATTTCTAAAATGAGAAAAGGAACAATTAGCCTAGTGACAAAACAATCAAGTCCACAAAGCCTGCAAGATTGGTCCATCCAGTGGAAACCTTATGTGCAAACAAAGATACAAAGCACAACTCTACCTGATGATATCCACTGGCCTAGTTGTTCCCGGCACCACCACCGTGCTCAGCAACAAATATGTTCTCATGGTTGTACAGGTTCCTGTACTCGCTATTCTGAATTCCATTGATCACTCTCAGCTCCAGGTCATTGAATGCTGACAACTCACTTTTATCTCGCATAGAAATTGCAAACATAACTTCACAAAATAAACTTACCAAGTCAGTGACATATTCAGCAGCAATGTCCTTCACTAGTGACTACAGTTTGTGGCTGCAAAATCAAGAACACCACATATGAGCAAACAACAATGTCTTTTATTATCACTTACAATATAAATTACTAATCTGAACTGTATTGGATAATTGATTGCAGTATAAACTTAATAAAATAACACAAGATTAAATTAAGGAACTAGAAAAAGGATGAAATAATCTTGGCCCATTCAGTTACTTACCTTGTACAGATGATACATGCATTTA